CGCCCCGCAGGAGGCCGGGGTCGTGTCAGGGGCCGCCCCCGCCCTGTCCTCCCCTCGGGCTGCAGCCTTGCCCTCCTGTTTCCCCCGTCCGGAGCCCCCCCCGCTGGAGGCGCGATCGGATTCCCAAGTCCCGCCCCCCCCCACTTCGGCTCCCGGGGTGGCTGCACCCTTCCCCCGGGCGCCTGGCGCGAGGCCGGACGACCCCAGCCCGGCACGCGGCCCCTAGGCGGAGGTCGGCCAGGCTTCGCTGCGTGGCTCTGAGCCGGTCCTGCGCCCCTGGAGTGGCGGTTTCGGTCCCCAGCTGGGCCCACAAAGCCCGGAGCGGGAACCCCAGTCCCTCTCACGGGCTGAGGGCCGCCTCCCACCCAGCTGGGCCAGCAGCCTTGCCGTCGCTATGTGCTCCCGGGCATGCGGCGCCCGGCAGAGCTTTGGGGGACTGTCTGGGATCTGGGGGTCCCCGAGGTTCCCGCCCGATTCCGGAGGACAGAAGTGCTCTGACCGCCAAATGGTTTAATGATGGGGGGAAGGGAGAGATCAAGCAGGGGTAGGGGGCGTCCCCCCCCAGGCAGGAGGGGGCAGGATTCATGGCTCCCGGGTTGGGAGGTAGGAGGCCCCCTTCCCGGCCTGGCTGTGACTCTGGGGGGAGGCCTCCCCCTCGGGGCTTCCACCTACTCTGCTCTTCTTGGGGAGAGGGGAGAGTGAGTCTCCGCGCTTGGGGTGGGGGGCGGTGGGTGGAGGGGGAGCAGAGGCTGATTCCCACGCCGGATGAGGGGTCCTGGGCAGGAGGGCTTGCCCAGGGCTCCCGCCCTCACGAGGAGTCCTGACCAGGCCGCATGTTGGGGAGGGGGTAGGGTGCGGGTCGGGCCCTTGGGACCCCCAGGTGGCTTGGCACTTCAGGGTACAGGCCCTGGTAGGCGAGGGGCCTGTAGGTGGCCGGGGCCAGGAGGGCCTCCGGAGTGGGCAGCAGCTGATGGTGGAGCCCGGCAGGGGTCCTGGAGGTGGAGGCTGAAGCTCTGTTGGGGTCTGAGGGAGGGAATGGTCTGAGTGGACCCCAGGCCTGCCTGTCCCTCTCCTGCACCACTCAGCCGCTGTCCTTGCTTTTCCCTCTGCCTGGAATCTCTCCCTCGCCTTCTCCCTTTGTCCAGATCCCTCCCCGTCCTCCAAGGCCCAGCTCAGAAGCCACCTCCCCCAGGAAGCCCACTGGGCACCCCCTGCCTTGTGCTCTCAGCACCTTGTCCTACCCTGTTCTCTCTGCCCTGGGCCCCATATTGTCTGAGGAATCTCTTCCTCCTGCTTTGTGTCCACACAGGTGCCCGGTGGGTTTGGTGAGCTTGCCGGAGGCCCCGTGGCCCTGCCCCGGCTTCCTGCCCACCGTGCAGGTCTTGGCCCTGCGTGTCTGCAGCCCGGGGCCTCACCTTTCTCCCTCTCAGTGGCACGCTTCAGCAGGCAGGGACTGAGGCTGCGGCGACTCCGGGCGGGGACGCTGAGCAGGGGCCGTGGGGCCACCAGCCTGGGTGGGGGTCAAGGTGAAGGACCAGGGGTCAGGGTCAGAGTCCGATGGTGGGGCCCCAGGACAAGTCAGGGGGCACGGCCTCGAGACGAGGGTCAGGAGTCGAGGCCGGAGATGCCTGGGGTGGGCTGGGGCTGGGGTGAGGGTGACGGCAGAGCCTCGGGGCCAGACGGTACCAGGAGTCCGGGTCACTCTCTCTAAAGCCCTTGGCGAAAGGGTTGCTGGCGATTTTCAGCTGCGTGATCTGCAGAGGAGAAGGGGCAGGTGTGGGTCAGCCTGGAGCCAGGCTCGGCCCCCTTGTCCTCCCGGGACCCCGCAGTTGGGAAGCCCTGGGCCCCCGGCCCCTTGGCCTGGGCCTCTGCATCGGATGGGTGTGCAGGCAGGGGAAGGACGGCGGGCGGATGCCAGGGAGAGAGGGCAGGGCAGGGGGCTGTGTGCAGGGGTCTGTGCTGCGTGCCTCGGGGCTCAGTCTCCACCCCGGGAAATGGGCTGGCCGGCGGCTGGTGCACCACCAGCGGGCCCACCCACCCGGTGGTTCTGATACGCCGTCACGGCCGTGAACTGGGTCTCCGTGAAGACGAAGGACTTGAAGTTCTCCTGGGCGTAGCGCGCGCCGTCCTTGCGCGGGTCCACGAAGACCACGTGGAAACGGGGCTGGTAGCGGTGCATGGAGTTGAGGATGATCTGCGGGGGCACAGAGTGGGGGGGGCGGTGCAGCAGCGGACGCCGAGGCCGGAGCCCTCCTCCAGGCGGGGGGGCTGCCCGGCCTGCTGCTTTTGCTCCTTTTATTTTATATTTATTTAGAGATAGGGCCCTGCTCTGTCGCCCAGGCTGGAGTGCAGTGGTGTGATCATAGCTCACTGTAGCCTCAAATGCCGCCTCAAGCCGTCCTCCCACCTCAGCCTCCCCCGGTAGCCGGGACTACAGACATGGGCCACTATGCCCAGCTCATTTATACATATTTTTATTTTTTGTAGAGACGGGGGTCTCAGGCTGGTCTCCAACTTCTGGCCTCAAGCGTTCCTCCTGCCTCGGCCTCCCAAAGTGCTGGGATTACCGGTGTGAGCCACCGTGCCCAGCTGTCCTCTTCCTCTAATGGCACTGCAGTGTCTGAACTCGAGAGGCCACAGGGCTGTGTTAAAGGCCCCCGCGTCTGAGAGTGCTTGCCACTTGGTCTTGTCTCACAGCCACGTCCCAGCTGTCAGCTTTACCTTTGGAACTGTCCAGAACCTGGCCGCCCCTGCCACCCCACTGCCTCTACGGCGGCTAGCCATCCTCGTTCACCTGATTCCTCGAGTGCCTCCTGGCTGGCCTCCCTGCCTCCACCCGGACCCTCTGTCCGTTGCCACACAGCCGCCCTTGGAAGCCACATCACGTAGCCCCCGTTACAAGTCCTCCCCTGGCCTCTGCTCCACACTGGAAGAGCCGGAGGCCCTGCATGGAGGACCAGCCCGGGGGACTCAAAGTACTCTTGTCCTCTCACCTTCCCCTCTTCACTTTCCTCTTTGCCTGCTGCCTGACAGTCTCAGGCCTCGGGGTCTTTGCACCTGCTGCCCCCCCACATATGTGCGGGCTCCCTTGCTCCCCGACTGCCTTCAGGCTTTCTCCAATGTGACCTCCTTGGCTTCCCAAGCTCCTAGAAAGGAACAGCCCCGCTCTGTCTCTGCCCCCTCCCCTGGTTCCTTTTTCTCCCTGGCCTTTGTCACTCTCTGAGACACGGCGCGCAGTCTTCTGTGTGGCTCCTGGCCCAGGGCGTGAATGGTGTGAGGGCCGGGATCTCTGTCGGACGAGCTTCCAACTGCAATGGGCCCGGCCGAGGCTGATGTTCCGGTCACGTCCTCCCTCTCCGCAGGAGGGCAGCGTCTGCGGGAACGCCCCCCACCCCTGCTCCACCTTCCCGCCCCCCGACAGGCCTCTCCGCCGTCCAACCCCTGGCCAGGTGAGCTGGGCGCCCAGCCGTGGCCATGGGCACCCAAGGCCCGGCCAGCCCTGGCTCCAGGCTCTCCACAGTCAGACCCTTCTCCCCACCCCCGACCGCGGCCCAGGCCTCACGTGGCCGTTGTCATCCAGCAGGTTGTTGGTCAGCTTGAGCTTGTCGAAGGACACGATCTGGCGCATCCACTGGGCGCCCTTGGCCGGCGAGTCGGGGTGGAAGTGCACGCGGCCCGGTGTGGCCGGATCCGCCTTGCCCGCCACCAGCCAGGCCGAGCTGTGGAAGGCGTACCTGGGGGGGGATGAGGGGTAGAGCGAGGTGGCCAGGGCTGCCCCCACCGGGAGCCAAGCCTGAGCAGTACCGGTGGCAGGGAGGGGCCGACGCCGACCGCAGCACTGCTCACCCAGCCTGGGGCGTCTCGAAGAGCAGGAGCCCGAGGGTCAGAGGACACTGCCGGGCCCACGGCTGCTGCCCCTGGCTGGCAGGTGTCAGGATAACCCCTGCTGCCTAGGCTAGACCCTCTGCTTGCCCCAGGCTAGCCCCCTGCCCAGGTAAGGCCGCCGGCTGCCCCGGCAGGGCTCCCTCCCGCCATCAGTCAGCTACCCCAGGCTGGACCCCCTGGCAGGGCCGCACGGGCCCTGCCTCACCCCGAGGGCAGTAGGGTCTAACTCCCAGCCTCCACGCCCAAGACCCGCGCCCCACCTGCCCCGCCGGTGCCCGACCTGTATCTCTTGTCGTCCAGAGGGAGGAAGTCCATGAGCAGGGCGTAGTCGGCACGCGTGTCCATGCCCAGGATCCTCACCTGGAAGGTAGGGAACATCCTCCTGCAGAGAGAGGCACTCAGAGGCCGCCCGCGGCTCCGCCCGGTCCTCCCTGCCCCCGCCACGCACACCTGCCCGCCTTGGTGACAATCATCTCTGTGCCCAGCTGGTTGAATTCCTCCCACAGAGGCTTCGTCTCCAGCTGAACCGTCACGCCGGACACACGCGGGTTCTTGGGGCCCTGCCCGGTGGGCTGGGCTGCAGCGTGGGCCCCCGCGGAGTCGGTGCAGGGCCCTGATGAGAACGGCGTCCCCAGCCGGGGCTCCCAGCTGGAGCTGGCCGTGGGTAGGGCGTAGGTCTCCGAGGGGGTGAGCACGCCGAGGCCGGCAGACAGGAAGGCTGGGGGGAGAGGACAGGAGCGTGGGCCCCTGAGTGCCCACCCACCCCCGCTCGTCACCCAGCCAGCTATCGTTCTTCAAGAGACACAGTATGCCTCTTCCTCCAGGAAGCCCTCCCTGACTGCCAGCCCTGTTTGCCCACAGGAGCCCCCATTCAGCTTCACTCTGTGTGATAAATGCTCACTTAAAGTCTTTTTCTGACCAGGCATGCGGGGTCACGCCTGTAATCCCAGCACTTAAGGAAGCCAAGGCGGGAGGATCACTTGAGCCCAGGACTGCAAGACCAGCCTGGGCAACATAGCAAGACCTCATCTTTAAAAAAAAAAAAAAAAAAAAATAGCCAGCCATGGTGGCGCACACCTGTAGTCCCAGCTACTCAGGAATCTGAGGCAGAAGGATTGCCTGAGTCCAGGAGGTCAAGGCTGCAGTGAGCTGTGATCGTGTCACTGTACTCCAGCCTGGGCGACAGAGTGTGGCATTGACTCAAAAACAAACAAAAAACCACAAATTTTTCCCAGCAACCTCCTTGAGAGTGGAGACAGGGCCTGTCTTGCTCCCCAGATACTTTTTTTGTTTGTTTGTTTTTGAGTTGGAGTCTCACTCTGTCGCCCAGGCTGGAGTGCAGTGCACGCTCCCGGCCACCCCAGCCTCGACCCGCTGGGCTCCGGCGATGCTTCCGCCTCAGCCTTCCAAGCAGCTGGAACTACAGGCGCGTGCCACCATGTCCGGCTAATTTTTTGATTGACTGTAGAGATGAGGTCTCGCCAAGTTGCCCAGATATCTCATTGTGGTCAGAATTATTATTTTTAATCAGGGGGTAGAAAGTGGCAAAGCTTTTGGCAAAGGCTGGTGCCAGGATTGCGGATCAAAAGAATATCTTTTTTTTTTTTTTTTGAGTCAGGGTCTCACTCTGTCTTCCAGGCTGGAGTGCAGTGCACGCTCCCAGCCACCCCAGCCTCGACCTGCTGGGCTCCGGCGATCCTTCCGCCTCAGCCTTCCAAGCAGCTGGAACTACAGGCGCACGCCACCACACCTGGCTAATTTTATTATTTATTGTAGGGTAGAGGTCACGCGATGTTGCCAAGGCTGGTCTCGAACTCCTAGGCTCAGGCGATCCTCTCACCTCGGCCTCCCAGAATGCTGGGATTATAGGCATCAGCCACTGTGCCAGGCCCAAAGAAGATCTTTACAAAAGAGGGAAGAGACCAGACAGAAGGACATTCGAACGGGCTTCTAGGGGCAAGATCTGGGCAGGTTTTCAAGGTCAGGGATGGACACTTCCTGCTTACCCAGGATTCCTCTCAGCCCAGCTCCCCCAGGCCGCAGGGTCTCCACCGAGGCTGGAGAGACCTTTCCCCAACCCACCCCACACGTGAACCATCTAGAACAGGTGTCGCTCGTGAGAGGCATGCTCCCAGCCCCGTGTACCAGGTCATGTGTTCCTCACTAACCCTCACGTCAGCCCCGTGGGGTAGGTGTTAACTCCATGTGGAAACTGAGTGGAAACAGGCTCCAGACGTGAAACAATTTGCTCAAGCCACATGGCCATGGGATGGCTCAAAAATTATCTGGGAGCCGGTCGCGGTGGCTCAAGCCTGTCATCCCAGCACTTTGGGAGGCTGAGGCGAGAGGATTGCCTGAGTCCAGGAGGTTCAAGACCAGCCTGGGCAACTTGGCAAGACCTCATCTCTACAATAAATTTTAAAAAATTAGCTGCGCGTGGTAGCATGCACCCGTAGTCCCAACTACTTGGAAGGCTGAGGCGGAAGGATCACCAGAACCCAGCAGGTTGACGCTGGGGTGGCCGTGAGTGTGGCACTGCACTCCAGCCTGGGTGACAGAGTGAGATTCCAACTCAAAAAACAGCAAAAAAAAGATGGCGGAAAAGAAAGTGGAAATTAGCAGGTGTTGGTGAGGATACTGAGTAATCAGAACCTTTGTCCATTGCTTATGGGAATGTAAAATGGTGTAGTGACTGCCCCCCCCCCCGAATTTAAACTAGAAACCATATGATCCAGCAGTCCTATTTCTGGCTCTGTGCCCCAAAGACCTGAAAGTGGGAACTCCAGGCAGACACTTGGACGCCCACGGCCACAGCAGCGTTGTTTGCTAAAGCCACAAGGCGGATGCCACCAGGTGTCCACAGAAGGCTGAACGGATAAACGCAATGTGTTACAAATGTACTACGGAATATTATTCAGCCTCGAAAAGGAAGGACATTCTGCCGGACGCAGTGGCTCACGCATGTAATCCCAGCACTTTGGGAGGCTGACGGGGGAGGATGGCTTAAGCCTAGGAGTTCGAGACCAGCCTGGGCAACGTAGCAAGACCTCATCACTATAAAAAAAATTTTAAAATAGGCTGGGCAGCCGGGCTCGGTGGCTCAGCCTGTAATCCCACGCCTTTGGGAGGCTGAGGTGAGTGGATTGCCTGAGCCCGCGGGTTCAAGACCCGCCTGGGCAGGCGAGACCTCATCTCTACAATAAATCAAAAAAAAAAAAATTAGCCGGGCATGGTAGCATGCGCCTGTAATTCCGGCTACTTGGAAGGCTGAGGCGGTAGGATCGCCGGAGCCCAGCAGATAGAGGCTATGGTGGCCAGGAGCGGCCACTGCACTCCAGTCTGGGCGACAGAGTGAGACTCCAACTCAAAAAAAAAAAAAAATAATAATAATAATAATAATAAATAAATAAATAAAATAAAAATAGGCTGGGCTTGTTGACTCAGTCTGTCATCTCAGCACTTTGGGAGCCTGAGGCGAGAGGATTGCCTGAGCCCATGGGTTCGAGACCAGCCTGGGCAACTTGGCAAGACCTCGTCTCTACATTAAATCAAAAATTAGCCAGGCATGGTAGTGCGTGCCTGTAGTTCCGGCTACTTGGAAGGCTGAGGCAGAAGGATCGCCGGGAGCCCAGCAGGTCGACGCTGGGGGTGGCCGTGAGCGTGCCACTGCACTCCAGCCTGGATGACAAGAGTGAGACTCCGACTCAAAAAAAATTTTTTTTAATTGCCAGGTGTGGTGGTGCCTGCCTGTCGTCCCAAGTACTCACGAGGCTGAGGTGGAAGGATGGCCTGAGGCACGAAGGTGACTGTGCCACTGATACAGCATGGGTGACACAGTGAGACCCCAACTCAAAAAAAATAAAAAGAAAATTTGACACAAGCCACAACATGGCTGAGCCTTGAGGACATTATGCCGGGTGAAATAAGCCAGACAGGAAAGGACAAACCCTGCGTGATTTCACTCATAAAATGTAGCTACAGAGGTCAAATTCATGGAAACTGATAGGAAAATGGTGGTTGCCAGGCCTGGGTAGGAGGAAATGGAAAACCGATGTTTAACGGGGATGGCTTTGCAAGATGCAGGAAGTTCTGGAGATGGTGGTGATGTGAATGCACTTAACGCCACAGAACTGTGCACTTGGAAATAGTTAAGACGGGACGTTTTATGTTACGTATATTTTACACTTAATTTTTTTTCCTGAGTCAAAGTCCCACTCTGTCGCCCAGGCTGGAGTGCAGTGGCACGATCACAGCTACCACAGCCTCGACCTGCTGGGTTCAGGCAATCCTTCCACCTCAGCCTCCCGGATAGCCAGGACGACAGGTGTGCGCCAGCATGCCTGGATGATTTCTTGATTTATTGTAGAGACGAAATCTCACCAAGCTGTCCAGACTGGTCTCAACCCCTGGCCTCAGGCAACCCTCTTGCCTCTGCCTCCCAAAGTGCTGGGATGACAGGTGTGAGCCATGGCGCCCAGTTCGGTTAAAATTTTAAGATGGAAAAAAAAAAAATCCCTGAAAAATAGAGCAATTATTTTATAGGGGGCTGAAGACCTGCTGGGGCCACGGAAGCCAGTGTCCGGGAGTCAGGGGACAAGGGCTCCTCCCAGCAGTGCCCCCAGCCGAGCGGCTTTGGGGCGTACGCCAGACTGCAGAACCGTGGGACCCCTGAGCAGGGGGATGCTTGATGCTGGGGAAACGGGCTGCCCTCACAGGTGGGGGCGGTCTTGCAGCACCGGGGAGAGTGTGGCACCAGGGCCACGGCCACGTCCCCTACAGCCTAAAAACCACGTGTGAGCACAGCACCTCACCAGAGCCCCTGGGGTCTCCGCAGCCTGGGGTTCGCTCTCTGACAGCAATGGGCCACGTCCAGTCTGGGGACCTGGGGGCGGGTGGATGGGTGGGCTGATGTCTCCCCCCTGAGGCCAGGCCATCAGATGGGCGCCTGCTTGGGCAAATACATCATGCCAGGGATGCCAGCTCCAGGGCCATGGCCTTGGGTCCCAAGGGAAGGGCTCATGGCTTCACTGAGCCTGGGGGCTTTGCTGGTGGTCACTGGCTCCCAAGCCCTCTCTGCACCCCCATTCCCGTCAACGTGCCACCCTTCAGCACTTTCAGGAACTGCGGGGAGGGGTCTTTCCTCTGCTCAGCCCCTCTAGAGGCCAGGACACCTCGGCCAGAGGTGAGGATTTCCCAGCGGTGTCCAGTGTCAGGTCTGGAAGGGACGTTGGAGGCTTCTTGTCCAGCCTTCTCATGCCGATCCTCAAGGGCCGAGGCCCAGAGAGGGGAAGGGAGCGGCCCGAGGTCATCACGCAGGCCTGACGGGGCTCTCGTCTCCCAGAAATGACTTGGTCCCTTGGTCCCCTGCCTCTGGGCACCCCCATCATTGCACTGGGTGGCAGTGAGTCCATCGGCCTGAGCTGGAAGGAGACCTCAGCCTCGGCCCCCTCTTGCCCAGAGCCGGGTCCGGTGGGGCTTCTTTGGTTCCCGTCCTGCCCCACCCGCCCCGGGGCCTGAGCCCACCCATGAGGCTGCCCTGGTTGTCCGTAACTTACCTGCCATGGGGACCGACCCGATGTCCGGCTCCTGGACAAACACGGCTCGGCTGGGCTGCACTGTCACCCAAGAGGGCCCCCGCCTGCCGGGAGGGGTGTCCCCACGCCTGGTCTCCTTGTCCACCGCAGCACAGCCCGAGGCTTCACACCGTCCCCAGCCTCGTGGCAGGACTGCCCTTGCTTCCCCGGCTGCCTTCTGTCCCCGTCCCCGGGTCATGGGCACCCAGTCTCCGCAGGTGACACGCTGGCTCTGGGGCGTGCAGCGTCCTTCTCCAGGTTACCCGCAGACTGTCCTGTCCAAGGCTGGCCACTGGCTGGGCATGTCCAGCTCCAGGGGCGGGTGCAGTGTGGGGGGGCGGGGAGGGAAGGCTCTGACGTAGCAAAGCCCCTCTCCTCCCTCCCGGTCCTCCCTCTTCAGACCCCTCCCGGCCCCAGCTAAGAGCCCCCCAGCCATTCCCGATCAATGGGCCCAGGCGGGGGTGGGAGGGACGTCTTGAGGACGGGACAGACGTCCGCAGGGGCCCAGGCCCGGTTGATGGAAGGGTCTGGGGCTGACGGGGCCCGGGGGGGTTGGGAGGCAGCGGATGGAGGGCTGAATGGGGGAGGCTGCGTCCTCCCACCAGGACCCAGACCCCTGACCCCTGCCGGCCGGTGTGCCATCGTGGGCGGCAGTTTGAGCAGACGACACCAGGGGGCAGCCGCGAGTGCTGTCAGCCCACAGGCCCTGGTCCCAACCCAGCCCAAGAGCTGGGCGACGCTGGCAGGTCCCTGCAGTCCCTGTGCCTCAGTTTCCCCAACTGAAGAATGCCTTCTGCCTGGGGTGGCCTAGCCCAGGCTGGTGAGCAGTAAGCCTGCCCGGTCAGGAGATGGAGCAGCACTCTTAGCCGACGGCGCCTACCTGGTTCCTGCAGGGCGTGAGTGGAGACACAGGCTGGCCCAGGTCAGAGGTTGTGTCCGCTGTGCCACGAGTCTGTCTGTTTTCTCCAGCCTGACCAAGCACCTCCTCCAGGCTGTCCTGAGCCTGTCCTGGAGCTGGGCATTCAAGGACACAGCGATCACTGGTCAGAGAGGCGGAGGAGGTGGGCTTCCCGCTAAGCTGCTGCCGTTCCCTTTTTTGAGAGCGTTCTTTGTCCTGTTGACCCTTGACAAATGGCCGGCTCTGGGAGGGAGCAGCCCCGGCTAGCCTCCGGGCCAGAGTGCCTCAGGCTGGGCTGGGCAGGCTCCACTGGGGTACCCAAGGCAGCGGGACGCCCCCCACACCTCCTCCAAAGTCCTGCTCTGGGGATGTCGGGTTGGTGGAGACCCCGATCCCTAAGGGGGGAACAGAGGGGCCGGGGGCCGGAGGGGCTGCTGCTCTCTGAGCATGACACTCAGGGCCCTCCTGGGGCTTCGAGCTGCCAGGTCTGCCTCTCTCACCCTGCAGCTCGGAGGTGCCAGTAGCTCGGTCCCTGTGACTCAGGCCCAGCCTGCAGGGCAGAGGGGGGACCCCACAGGGAGAGGGCGGGCCGTCCCCTGGGGGAGAGCTGCCAGCAGCTCCTAGGGGCTGCCCAACGAGGTGTGGCCATCAGAGGGGTTCCCCAGGGACAGGAGGTCCAGCACCATGGGTGGGAAACGGGGGAGACGGTGGAGGGATTTGGGGAATCCATCCCAGTCTCGAGGCTCCCGCTCGGACGAGGCAGGCCAGCCTGGCCTTCTGATGGTTCCTGATACGTGTGAGTGTGTGTGAGTGTGCTCACGCCTTTGATCTGTGTGATGGGAAACCCCCGCACACACGTGGGGACACTGACACGCCAACCCGTGTGCGCACACACAGATGAGCACGGGGCCCGCTGCCTGGCCACACGCGGTGCACACATAACAAGCTTCTGTGCACACACGCGCGCTGCACAGACACGGCCTGTGCACACGAACACAGACACACACTCACACCA